CTGATTCCAAGCTATCATGACATCACTGACTGCAGAGCTGAGAAGAGACATATGTATTCTGTTGGAGAGCCAACACACCATTGGGAGAGGCTCAGGCAAAGGGGTGGAGAACTGAGAAGGCTGAGGAAAGGGTCGTATGTTCAGGAGAATATTCTCGCAGCTAGGAATAAACACAAAAGCACAATGCTGTGAAAACCTGCCTGGCCCCCGTCCACTACCAGGTTAAGTTTGGCAGCAATATTTGCTTCAGAAATATTAAGCTTTGAAAGAAGTCCGAGTGGTACAATAGTTCAGCATCTGACTGATAACTGAAAGGTCAGCAGTTGGAACTCACTAGACTGTGAGAGAAAAGACCTTGTAATCCGCTCCTGTAAAGATGACAGCCAGGAAAGCCTGCAGGGAGTTCTATCGGCTGCAGTTTGTTGGAAGGCAACAAGGGCACTCAACCTTGGTTGCAGTGTTACCTGAGGCCCCTCAAGCAGGGTCCTGGGGGTGTGCCTGCATAGGACTGTGGTGTGCTTGCAGCATGTGCAATTCGTCTCTATGGTGTGAACCCCAACCTGCCTCAGATGTGCCTTCTAGGGTCCCTGGTTAGCATTGGGTAGAGGCCCCAAATGGCTTCATTTCTAAGTTGATCCCCACAGCCTGAGAAGACACACTGAGACAGCTCAGCGCACGTAACCAGGTTCCTGGAAGTGTGTAATGGCAGCTTTGGACTCTGGTGCAGGGACCAGAGAAGTCTGGAGTTTGAGACCTGTAAAGGAACACTCAATATGCCAGCTCAATAGGCAGCACTGTCTAAATCCCTCCCACGGGAGCTGATGAACGATTTTTAGCTTTTTTATCCCCTAGGTCCAGCATTTTCTTTTTGTTTTGTTCATTCTCATGCCCCCAAACATCTAGTGCAGGACCAGGTCAAAAATGGACACTCCAAAACTACTTTTGAATTGATTGATTAGAAACATCAAATGGTCACATCAGATGAAAAACCTTCACATTGCCTGAAAGGGCAGAAGACAGTGGGGACAATGGGTTTGGAAATCTGATCTTAATTAGGCTTTGGTAAAGCAACGGCAAGCAAGCAACATTGCCTAGAGACGATGAATTCGGGAAGTGCATGATGAACACATTGCTTAGGGATGCTGCTGCGGGCGAAGGGATTGCAGCATCTCAGTATTTGTGGAACACTTAGTAGATGCCATCCCCTGCTTGGCACAGGGCACTTCATTATTTTTCACTAACACGAGGCTCCAGTCTTCCTTCCAGGAGGGAGTCCTCACTCCAATGGCTTCAAGTCCCATTTGAAGAAATGGCTGAAGAAGTTGACCAGGTAGACAGTTTTCTTTCTCTGAATGCAGACCGAGCCCTTGGCCTCCTTAGTACCGTAATGAATGGCAGCAACCTGCTCAGATCAGGTCAGCCCTTGTTCACAAGACTGCATCTCTGAGGGACAATGGCTCCAGGGTTTTCCTGACTTTCTTAAGGCGCACCGTGCAAGCTAAACATTCTTTATCTTCACTTCTTTCAGGACAAATCAGATCATTTGCCAGAGGCCTGGGGAAATGAGTTGTGGAGACCAACGTTTTTGTAGGGTACATCCGTTTCTGGATTCTCCTTAGATAGGAAGCAGAGGGATTTGAGCCAGAGCCAGGCTGTAAAAATCCAATGGGCAGCTGAAGAGAGCTGCCCATCCCAGGTCCTCCTGCAGCTGCGGTGTTACCGTCTGGACGGTTGTTCAGAGAGGAAGAAAGAACAGTGTGAGAGTGGGCTGGAGATAACGAGGGGATTTCGGCTTTTCTATAAAAACAGCAGCCTCCAGTCAGAAACAGATGATGGGTATCCAGTTATTCAACCACAAAAGCCAAAGTCCCCAGCCTAGCACAGTGTGTTTGCTGGGAGCAAGCACGCCAAGAGGTAGCGTGAGTCCTTTCTAGGTTAACATAATCAGATGGATAAGGGACACCTGCCACTCGCTGCAAAGCGCTTCACACAGCTGGCTGCGTTCATCTGCTTAATAACAAAACCCGAACTGGAAACCCTCTTTACCCTGTCTCTCGGAGCCCTGTTGTGGAGAGCATGCCTTTAATTAGAGCCCGACTGCACAGCAGGGGGCTCGGCTACACGGCAGAACAGTTACCATGTATTTTTCCAGGCAAGCAAAATGCAGATGCTGTTTACTATCAGCTATCTCTCTGGGGAAAGAACAGTCTGGAGCTCAGAGAAATTATGGGAACGACTGGGTTAAATTTTTTCCCCCTGTGTCTTTAAAAATATAATTTTCAGGTTTTTATTTGTGAGCAGTAAAAGAATAATTGTGATAATTACCTAGGTGTCACAATCGCACTTGGCAATATTTTTGAGATGGAAGAAACTGAGGCTCAGAGAGGATAAGTAATGCCCAAAGTCACATAACTGTAAGTGGCAAGGTTGGGATTCAAAGCTAGATAGTCTTTTAAAAATGAAGTTAACTTTTATTTACTTATTAGTCTTTATAGTCTGTCTTAGAGCGCTCATTTTTTTAGCTTGTGCGGCACACTTCCGAGAAATGTGTTCTCAAAGGAGGGCCTGCCAGTCACTGTGTCCAGTAGCTAGGAGGGAAAGGTCAGCACATGTGGTCAGTTCATGTGGAAGCCCTTCACTCTTAGGAGTCGAGACGTTTCTTCCTTGAGATCTTTCCTCTAACGATGTACTGTATATATATATATACAGATGTTCCCGGCAGCATTATTTTAAGGGTAAAGTCAGATTTCCATATAAGAAAATCGGGCTGAAGGATAACTATGGAATACTAGGCAGCTGCAACAAAGCAAAAGTGTTTTTGAACTGACATGGAACTGCTGCCAAGATCTGTCTGGAATAAAACAAGAACATAGATCAGTGGTTCTCAACCCGTGGGTCGTGACCCCTCTGGGGGTCGAACAACCCTTTCACAGGGGTCACCCAATTCATAACAGTAGCAAAATCACAGTTATGAAGTAGCAATGAAAATAATTTTATGATTGGGGGGTTCACCACAACATGAACTGTAAAGGGTTGCAGCATTTAGGAAGGTTGAGAACCACTGACAGAATAATGTACCATTTTTTTCTATCATTTGTGCAGAATAAAAGACCACACACAGGGAATCCAGGACGGATGATCCCTTCAGGACCAGTGGTGAGAGTGGCGATACCGGGAGGGTGGGGTACAGAGGGGGAACCTATTACAAGGATCTACATATAACCTCCTCCGGGGGGATTGGGTGGGGGGGCAACAAAAAAGTGGGTGAAGGGAGACGTTGGACAGCGTAAGATATGACAAAATAATAATTTATAAATTATCAAGGGCTCACGAGGGAGGGGGGAGCGGGAAGGGGGAGGAAATGAGGAGCTGATGCCAGGGGCTTACGTGGAGAGCAGATGTTTTGAGAATGATGAGGGTAACGAATGTACAAATGTGCTTTATACAATTGATGTATGTATGGATTGTGATATAAGAGTGTATGAGCCCCCAATAAAATGATTTAAAAAATGAAAAAATAAAAGACCACACATGGATGTATTTGCGTGTAGGCACACAGATCTCTGGAAGGGTGCACCAGGAATTGGTCACATGCATCTCCTTGTGAAGTGAACTTGGGCACCAGTCAGAAGGCCTTTAGATCTTTCTGCCCTTTTGTATCTTTTGATTTCCAACCATGTGGACACACATGGGGGCTTCAGATAGTCGTGGAAAACGGTGTTGGAGGATAATGTACTCTTTCCACAAACCTTCTGAAGCCCTCTGAGATGACCTATTCAGAAACTACGTGTCTGCAATCTTTTAACAAATCGATCTGTGAGCTGGCAGTAAACAGGACAGATAAAATACATAGTTACATATGCGCCATGTAATCTTATAAGTCAAACATGGGGAGGGATAGGAGGTCATTTTATTAAGATGCTAATAACCGTTTTCTTATTTTTCCAGAATTTTATGAAGTGATTATCGTAAATGTTTTTATTTATTATATTTAATTACTACTTCCTTGATTCCATTATTACTTTAATCAATAATCATGGTGAGAAAGATGGAAATGAAGACCAGGGACTCTAGAATCTTAATATGCACTGTGTATTTTAAAAAGAAAAAAAGTCCGAGGGAGCGGGGAGGGAGGGGGAGGGGGGAAAAGGAAAATGAACTAATTCCAGGAACCCAAGAGGAAAGCGAATTTTGAGAATGATGCGGGCAGCAAATGTATAAGTGTGCTTTACACAATTGATGTATGTATGGATTGTGATGAATTGTATGAGCCCAAATAAAATGATTAAAAAAAAAAAGAAGTCCTTTATGAAAATACACTGGGAATAAATAAAAGGCTATTGAAACCAATGCAGAGGTTCTCCGGGTAAGCATTGGAAAGGGAGAAGAACATATTTTCCATCTGGAAGGAAATCACTGAGTGACATCATGCACAAACAGTTGTGCAATGCTACTAAGAGGGCTCCCAGTCTCAAAGGACTACATTTAACTTCCTGGGTTTTCCCTCTTTCTCCTCTGAGGTAACTAAAGACACCACAGGTTGTTCTAAGCTTAACAACCAAACAACAAAACTGGGTTTTTTTGTTTTTCTTCCTATCTAAAAAGAGGAAGTGGGTGAAAAAGAAATGACATTTAATTAAAAACAAAAACAGCACACCAAGTTCTTGTAGAATCATTGCTTGGGCTCACATGACATTGAGTAGAAGAGATTTGGAAACTACTTCCAAACCCCAGCTAGAGGGTGAGAATTCACTTCACCTTGAAGCCAGGTAGGCAGGGGCCCACCCCCGGAATGGAAAGGAAACAAGCCAGTCGGGGATTGAACTGAGCCCGTCTACCACAGCTGTGATCTTGGGCTTGGCTTCTCAGGCTGACATTCATTTGCAGTCTATCATCTGATACAATCACGTTCCTGGTTGCGATCTATGAGCTGCCAGTATTGACTTGAGAGACTGGCTGGGAGCTGGAAGGGAAGAAAGGTAAATACACCAAAGCCCAGCTGAGCAACCAACAGATTTTACATTTTATTTCCAGGAAATGACATCTTGTTTTCACAAAGAGGTATTCCATCCTCTCAAAATAGAGGTTACCTTAGCTTTCAGGGGTAGCCATAAGGTGACACCCAACCTGTCCCAAATGGAGATGTTTCTAAAGCACCAAAATAATATTAACAACAGCAATCGTAGTAAGAACAAATATAAACAACAGAACAGAACTTGAATAACTTATTCAACAGAGAGTGAAGCAGTCTGAAGCAGCCGGCTCCAAGTGTACTGGTGAGGCTTCAGACATGGCAGGAGCAGGGCTGGCTAACATCAAAGGCTCAGGACAGAACTTGTCAACGCAGCCTCTGTCCCATAGAGCTTCTCACGATGACCTCCAGGATAGCCCATGTCATGTCCTGAAAGAATCCTTCAAAACCATCCCAGGTTCCCATTGCCTGGCAGTCTTTCAAATGCTCTGGAGCATGGGCTTCAGGACCGGATCTTTGCTTTGGAGCAAGAAGAGAGAAAGGCATGGTGAGTCTTGCATTTCCCTTCCCTGGCCTCCCGGCTTCCACTCTTACTCGCTGCTACACCTAGCAACCAAAGTGAACCTAGAAAATGTCGGTCAGGTCCTGTCACTCTCTGTTCACACCCCAATATTCATTTCTGCCCTTTCCAAGGCCTATCAGGCACAACACAATCCACCCCCCACCCCCCTGCTCAGCCTCCTGTACCTCCCCCATACCTCTCCTCACCGCTCACGAGCTCCAGCCACACCGATCTCCTGACTGTCCCTGCAACTTACTGAGCATGCTCCCCCTTACTATGGCCTTCTCTGGGACATCCTTTCCCAGATGGCCATTTCCTTCAGATCTTTACTCAAATACTACCTTCTCACTTCTCACCTTGACCACCTTGTCAGAACCAGCAGCCTCTCCCGTCACTACATTTCCCTTTCCGACTGAAGCTTTCTCCACACCCCAGTACTGTTGACGCTGACTCAGCAATCCTATAGGGCAGAGTGGAACTGCTTCAGAGGGTTCCTGAGGCTGTCCATCTCCATGGAGGCAGACAGTCCCATCTTTCCCCCTAGAGTGGCTGTCAGCTTCGAACCACTGATCTTTCGGTTAGCAGTCCAATGCCTAACGTATCAGGGCTCAGAGCTAACTTATTAAAATTTTGCTTCTGTTTATACTTCAGCACCTAGAACAGTGCACAGCACAAAGCTATAGACATCAATAAAAATCTGTTCAGGATAGGAATGAATTATATACACAGGAACAGGCAGGCAGAAGGGTTTAGTTCTCTCTTTATGTAGAAGTCGGCTTAGAAGGGTTATTTACCGGCCACTGTCCTTTTCCAGTCACTTCTACTTTCTCCATCCAGGGAGAGGAGGGATCCTGGCCTACATCAGGGACTCAATGAAGCCACTAAGGAGATTGTCCCTTGTTTGGGACTGCAGTCTGGAACACTTCGGTGAGATGTTTGAAGGGATTACACACAATTTCTACCATTTCTGTGCCTCCTTTGGGGGGAGCTGGGCAAGCCTTCAAACCTGAAAAGCTAGGAGAGAATCAAGTGGGCATCCTGGCCTCTCAGTTAGTGGCCTAATAACTCACAGACAAGTCCAGAAGCTATAGAAATTCCTTTGACTTCTCTCAGGTACATTTCCTTGTCTATCCCACCCACACCCCATTGTCTACTCTTTGCTCTATAAAACACTCCTACTTTTTACAACTAGTCCCTTCATCTGGACTCTGCATTCCCTCCCTTCTCTTGCATTCCAAGAATCGTGTCCTATTCACTATTTCTGCTTCCAAGCATCTCTGCTATAGGCTTCTTTCCATAAATAATTAAGACATATTCAGTCTCTCATATCTTTCTTAAAAAGGGGCCCTTTATCCCAATTTTCCAACTATCACCTTTTCTTAGTAATAGACAAACTTCTTGAAGAACTCTACTCCCTGACCTCATACCTATTCTCCAATTTACTGCTAACTGGCTTTCAATCTCAGCAACCCTCCAAACTTGTACTAGATGAAGTCATCAATGTCCCAATGTCTGCTACAACGGGTGACTTTTCATCCTCATCTCAACAGATCAGCAGCATTTCACATCGCTGAACCCACACTTCGTAACCATCCAAACACATGCATTTGTTGAAAACCTCCAAACTCCACCCAACTCACTGCCAGCAAGTTGATTCCAATTCGTAGCACTCGAATATGAGGCTCTGAGAATACTACAGAAAATCAGAGAAAGTTTTGTCCGTGAGGGATTTATACTCCAAGAAACCACTTCACGTTGATAAACCCTTTGAAAGGAAAATGTCTCACGTGCCACGAGAAGAGGCCCAGAGTGTGTCGGGAGGGCTCCCAGCACACCATTCTAGTATCTTCATGCTGTACTCTCCCTTCCTCGCCGTCTCCCTCTCGGCCCCTCCTCTTCCCTGCGCACCAAGCACTTGTCTGCCGCTGCCGCCGCTCAAGTCCTCGGACACAGGTGTTCCTCAGCCCTAAGGACCTGGGCATCGTTCTTATGACCATGGAAAGGGCACCAAGTGGCTACTCTACTTCGTGGGGCATGGCTCCCACATCTAATATCCTAAATCAGCCCTGTCTTTTGGAACCCAAGTCTACACATCCCAATACCTATGGAATAGCTCCGGTGCTTTAAACAACTCCCCAAACTCGTGTCGGTGAGCGCGGCAGCAGGTGCCGCTGACAGAAATTTGGGAGGTCTTTCATCTCAGTTCCCGATCACTTCTTCCAGCACATCAGATCCGCAAACCTGTAGATTCCACCTCCTGCAGGATCTCTCAGATCCACTCACCCTCTCCAGCCCCGGTGTGACTTCTCTAGCCAGCCTGGCCACCGTGAGGCCTAGATTGCTGCCGCTACTTGTGTTCCCCACTCCCACCGTTTCACTTCAGTGCAGACAGATGGAACACTCCAGAAATTACAAACAACAACAGCCAGACCACCATTTTAAATCACCTTATAGTTTTCCACCACCACAGGCTAAATCTCTAACATGCACTATGATGCTCTCTAAGATCTGGTTTTGCCAGCTTCTCCAGCCTCCCCAGTCAGCACTCCCGCTGGTCCTCTACAATCCAGCCGCACTGCACTCCTGTCAGCATTTCAAAACCCCAGGCTCTCGAGTCGGGCCCTTCTATTATGATATGCACCTTTGCCCCCCTCACTTCCCCAGAGTTTTCTCTTGGCTCCTGCCTGGTACTTTTTCCCCCTGTACGGACCACTTTACAGAGAATTCTAGGCCCTGCATCTACATGAAAACCTCCATGGGGCAGAGGCTGCACATGTCGTTGTCACATGTCTCAACACCTAGTGCGAGCTCAGGAAAAAAAGAAGCAAGAAAGAAACAGGTCCAGGGTTGGCTCTGACTCAGGTTTAATGTGATAAAGGAAGAAAGGTCTAAACTCTTCAAGGGAGGAAAGCAGAGTGCAATTGATTGAGAAGGTCTAGACAGAAAGGGGAGCCTAGCTGGAGAGATCACCTTTATTAAAAACACAACTGTAGACAACTGGACAGAACATCTCTTTAGCTGATTACAGAGAACCATCAATAGTGGTATACCTACTTCTCTGGTCTTGGGCGGGAGTGGGGTGATGGTAAAAGAGGCATAATCAGTGACCCAAGAAATAAACAGATCCAACACTAGAAGCACTCGCTTGTTTATACTATGAAATTTGGAGGGCAGCTTCCAGTCCAATCGACTGGAAAAGATCCATATTCATGTCCATTCCAAAGACAGGTGATGCAATGAAATGTAAACATTATTTAACAATCTCATTAACATTACGTGCAGGTAAAATCTCACTAAAGAGAATTTTAAAAAGAGCTGCAGCAGTCCAGTGACAGGGAAATGCCAGAAATGTATGCCAGATTCAGGAAAGGACCTGGATATTGAGTGACTGTCGGATGTCAGCTGAAAGCAGAGAATATCAGAAAGATGTTTACCTGTGTTCTATGGTCTATGCAAAGGCATTACACTGTAGAATACCATAAATTATAGATAATATTTCAAAGAATGGGAATTCTAGACATTTACCTGTGTTCATGTGGAACCTCTACACATATCAAAATTAAGGGGCAGTTGTTCAAACACTGTGGCTTACAGTCAGGAAAAGTATGCATCAGGGTTACATTCTTGCACCATATTTATTCAATCTGTATGCTGTGCAAATAATCTGGGACACTGGACTATGTGAAGGAGAACTCAGTATCAGGACTGTGTGGTAAAGTGAGAACTCGGTAGAAAGTATTTGACCGTATTTCTACACTGGCAACCACGGGCACACAAAACTAGCCCTATTTTGAGAAAAAACTCCATTGTTCCGAGATAGAAATGTTTTCAAATACACATTCTCCAGGCTGCATAATGTGCCTCCCACTATAGCCCTCCCTTAAGGAGCAGTCTTAAAGGAATTACCATATAAGACGAATCATTCCTGGGCCTGGCTGTTCCCTGTGTCCGAAGGTTATCTGTAGATAAATGCAATCAGGTTCTATAGCCAAAATGTACTTAAAATGTAGCAAAACCGGTGTGTGTGCGTGCGTGCGTGTGTGTGTGTGTGTGTGTGTGTGTGTTTTCAAGGTCAACTAGCACTAGATCAAGGTGATGACTTACCTCATTGCTGGTTTCTTATGCTACCACTTATGATATTACCCACTATGTATTATGTTTGCTCTATGACATGTATGCCATTTGACAGATCGGTAAATGCCATTATATATACCCATTGTAAAATACATTCACTCTCTCAGTCCTGATATGGGACAACGAGTCCCTGTCCCTGTGCCCTGCTTTGTCTGTCTGTCTGTATTATTTTCCACAATAGCAAAGTCGCTCCTAAGGATATATTCAAGTGTTGAGAACCACCTGTACCCCCACAGGATTGGAGGGAGATTCATTAACTACCTGCAACATGCAATCTTGCTTGCTAAAGTCAAGGAGGGTAAAGAAAGCTGATGTGCCCGGCTATCAAATGATATAGCATATAGGGTCCTCAAGGCTTGAAGATAAACAAGCGGCCATCTAACTCAGAAGCCACAAAGTCCACTTGGAAGAAGTACACCAGCCCACGTGATCATGACGTGTCGATGGAATCAGGTATCAGGCATCAAGGACCCAGAACAAAAAATCATGTCAATGTGAATGAGGGGGAGTACAGAGTGGAGACCCAAAGCCCATCTGTAGATAACTGGACATCACCTTACAGAAGGAAGAGACGACTCAGTCAGGGTGCAGTGTAGCACCGATGAAACATACAACTTTCCTCTAGTTCTTTAATGCTTCCTCCCGTCCAACTTCCTCCTCCCTCCCTCCTCATGACCCCAATTCTACCTTACAAATCCGGCTGGACCAGAGCATGTACATGGGTACAGATAAGAGCTGGAAATACAGAGAATTCAGGACAGATAAACCCCTCAGGACCAATAATGAGAGAGCGATACCAGGAGGGGAAGGGGAAAGTGAGAGG